TCGTAGCGTATGCGTCCGTACTATCGTGAAGGAATAGGGCTATCCCCCGATGCATGAACACACAATAATGCATGAGGTTCCAACATTTTTCTATTTTCTCATTATCATTTAATACAATCCCGCTTATTTGCTTACATTTATTACCCTATTTATTTATTTGGAGTACAATAGTTTTTTACTCCAAACACTTTTTTTTTTTACCACTATGTAAGTACATATTATCTCACTTTCTTAACCAAAACACAATTTGAGGACATTTATTACCTCATTTATGCATAGGAACAATATTTACTTATTCAAAAAATTAACCACTTACATCTATTATGTAACACCCTAATTTTTCTTGTCAACATCAAAGACCCCAAAGACGCCTGTGTATGCATGTCTTTAATAACATATGTAGAAATTTAAAATAAAACATTTTGAAGCATGAAAAGCCACCTATCAACTATTAATTGATCAAAACAACGCATATTATTTATCTAAAATCACTACCCTTGTCATAACATACTCTCTTAAAAATATACTCAGGAAGCAATATATTTGTAGACTCTCATCGCTTCCTTCTCCGAGTAGGTTCTCACGGCTTTCTTTGGTCTATACGAAGTTTCAATTGATTCCTTATTGATCATCTACCCGTGTAGTCCTTAGTCCTTCATCGAGACTAGTTTATGACGTCACAGCGTCGATCTTGACTCATTTCTAAAATCAATAGAAGTACTCATACTAAACCACCTATGTGCATAGTCCCTACCTCTTTCAAGATCGGTTTATGAAGTTGCAGTGTCAACCTTGACTCATATCTATGCTCAATGGGTGTAACGGCAACAAATATAAAAAAAAAAATTGCGCACTCGCCAAAAAACGCACGAGCATTTCAGTGAGACGCCGAAATTCTCACACCACGCTCAGTCACACTCCTCCGATGCTCCCGCTTCGCCAAAACAATCCCAGACGACTGCCCATCCTTCAACTACACGCTTCTAAAGGCCCACCTCCAAGGAAAAGGGGAAGAGAGAGAAATTTTGTGAGAAAAATCGCGTGAACCGGGTGGAGAAGACGAAGTCGGTGGACTTCGGTTCAAATTCGTATTGGGTATCCAAACGCCTGCAACCCCCAAACGCCTTGGCCCAATCTACTCAGTCGCCCAAACTGCTACAAAACTTCAACCCGAGAACACGCGCCTGTAGCCTACTGACCATTGAATTCTCGAGGCCCAAATCGAACGTTTCGGCCCAATCCACATAGCCAGCTTACGCGACCTGCAACAATCGTGACTCGCTACCCACAATTCACGACTCGCACACCCGCGCGAGACCCGCACCTCGACCTGAAGTTGTCTGCACACATGTCGGTCTCCTATTGTGCCACGTGGCACACCTGCAGCGAATGCAAACTCGTGCTCAAATGCGTCCCACCAGTAGAGACATTGGGAGGTTCGATACTTTGGTGACAGGTACACTACCCATTTTAAGTCATTATGCTTTTACTATATTTGATTTTGGTTCTACCGACTCTTTTATATCTTTTCCCTTTGTTATACAAGCAGGATTCGAACTAGAACCCCTTATTGCATGTGTGTGAGTATCCCTGTGGGGGGAGGCTTAGTGGCTAAGGATAGAGTAAAAGATGACCAAGTAACCATAACCGATCAAACTCGAAGCGTAGCCCTGATAGTAGTTAGCATGATAGACTTCTATGTAATACTAGGCATAGATTGGTTAGATGAAAACCACGCTGGTATAGACTTTCGTAAAAAGGAAGTGATAATTTCACCGCTATCGGGACCCAACTTTAAGTTTAAGGGTACATGCATTGAGACTACCCAAGGTAGTCTCAATGATGAGCTAACTCACTAGTTCAACCAGGGGGTTTGGCGATATTAGCATGTGTTATAGATGTAAGAGAAAAGGAAAATAACCTAGACACTGTACTAGTAGTGAACGAATTTCTAAAAGTTCTTCGCAAGA